TGCTGCTGCTGCTGCACCTGCAGCTGCTGCTGCAGCTCGTACTCTCGCCGCTGCAGCTCCGTGGGCTCCGACAGCAGCAGAGGCAGCAGCTGAAACAGCAGCAGCAGAACTTAGTAACAACCGGGCATCCTACTGCTGCTGCTGCTGCTGCTGCTGCTGTTGCTGCCTCTGCTGCTGCTGTTACTGCTGCTGTAGCTGCTACCCTGTACCTCTGCGTGCGCCCAAACCTGCTGCTGCTGCGCGCGCTCCTAAACCTGCTGCTGCTGCTGCTGCTGCTGCTGCTGCTGCTGCTGCTGCTTGCCTGTTTGAATTCTTGGTTTGCTGCTAGTGCTGCTGCTCCTTCTTTGCTGCTGCTGATGCGGCATAATAGGCAAAGAGCATCTGGGGCTCCTCGGGCCCAGCAAATTCGGGTGTATGTACAGCTGGCAGCAACGAGCTGCAGGCAGCAGCAAAAGTGATTTACAGGCAGCTGAGCAGCAGCCACCGAAGCTGCTGCCAGCAGCAGCAGCAGCAGCAGCAGCAGCAGCAGCAGCGGCGAAAACCGAATCACTTCATTCCCCCAATGCAGCAGGAGCAGCAGCAGCACCTTTTCCTGCTGCTGCTGCCGCTGGCGCTGCAGCAGCAACAACTGGCGCTGTTGCTGCTGCTCCCGTCGTTGCTGCTGTTGCTCCTGCTGCAAGCAGCACTGCTGCTGCTGCTGCTGCTGCTGCTGCTGCTGCTGCTGCTTCAACCCACCTCTTCTGCTGCTGCTAACTTTGCTGTTTTTTCGTCTGTGGCGAGGAGAGCCACAAGGCGCAGCAGCCTGAAGACAAGCCTCAGCAGCAGCAGGGGAATTAAATGTTTAAAAATAAAAAGAAAATAAATAATTAATTAATTAAATTAATTATTTAATTATTTAATTTAATTAATTCAATCAATTTGCTGCCAATCTGCTGCTGTTTACATTGTGGCTGTTTCCAGCGCCAGCGTCAGGTGCGGCAGCGGGCTTGGGCGCAGCATGCCTTCAAGAGACGCAGCAGCAGCAGCAGCAGCAGCAGCAGCAGCAGAAGCAGCAGCAGCAGCAGACGCAGCAGCAGGTGGTTCTTCCTTTAGGCACTCAAGCTCAGCAGCAAGCTGCTGCAGCAGCCGAGCTGCAGCAGGCACTATACTGCTGCTGACCATGCGCTGCCTTGCTGCTGGTACTCTGAGCAGCAGCAGCAGCAGCAGCAGCAGCAGCAGCAGGAGCAGCAGCAGCAGCAGCAGCAGCAGCAGCACATTTATGAACTAAATAACAAACAAAAGGGCAAATAATATTATTTATTTTCCTATTTATCTGCTGCTAATGCCCCGCAAATGCCTCCAGCTGCAACATGGGAATAAAAGAAAGCTATTTATATCTTTAAATGCATGCAAAGAAATTAATTAAATTAAATTTATTTATTTATTTATTTTATGGATATGAAAAGTAGCCCTGGGGGCCCCTAGGGGGCCCCCAGGGGGCCCCCTAGGGGCCCCCAGGGGGCCCCCAGGGGCCCCCCAGGGGGCCCCTGAAGGGTTTGCTGCGGGCTGAGGTGTATGTACAGCTCACGTAGCTACGCTGCAAGCAGCAGCAACAACATTTCGCAGCAGCAAACGGCTTTCCTGAAGCAAGCAGCAGCAGAGAAGGGTTTAGGGTTTGGGGTTTAGGGTTTAGGGTTTAGGGTTTACAGAAACGTGCGGTTCGGGCCTTCCTAGCGCTCAACAACAAGGGCTTTTGCTGCTATTCATTGGGCTTCCTTAGGGTTTAGGGTTTAGGGTTTAGGGTTTAGGGTTTAGGGTTTAGAGGTACCGGGGGTGGCAGCCTCCAGCAGACGACGCAAAGATAAGAGACCAGGTGGCTGTCTATGCCTGCAGCAGCAGCAGCAGCAGCAGCAGCAGCAGCAGCGGCAGCAGCAGCAGCAGCAGCAGCAGCAGCAGCAGCAGCAGCAGCAGCAGCAGCAGCAGCAGCAGCAGACAGAGCAGCAGCAGCAGCAGCAGCAGCAGCAGCAGCAGCAGCAGCAGCAGCAGCAGCAGCAGCAGCAGCAGCAGCGACACTATCATTCAACTCCGTAGAGCGGCAGCAACCTAAAAGTAACAACGGAAGGCGAAACTGGCAGCGAGCCAAATTTATTCATTCACTGATGTATTGTTTAAATTTATTTATTTATTTATTTATTTATTTATTTATTTATTTATTTATTTATTTATTTATTTATTTATTATTGGATTTTGAATTGATTTTATTTGCGAGAATAAGCAGCAGTTTTCCATTTGCCGAAGTTCAAGTCGGCGCGGTGACCCGCAGTGGGGCGGGCAGATCTCAGTGAAAACGACGGCTAAATTGCCTCTTTTTTGCGTTTTTCTGCTCCAAATGGATTTTAAAATGCAATTAAATTTATTTTGGATTCAAAATTTGCAAAAAAAGCGGCGAAAACTGCGAAAACGCCCCAGAACGCGCACCTGCAGCCGCCAGCAAGGCGCCGCCGTCAGCCTCGCTGCTCAGAGAGGCCAGCAGCTCCGCCGCGAGAGACCTGCGGGGAAAATAAATTAAAATGAAAATTAAATTAAATAAATTAAAAATAAAAATTAAATTAAATTAATAAATTAATTTGCAAAAAGAAATTCAAAATTCGGCCATTTAGAACACCTTTTCTTCGGGTCGCGCAGCGCTGCTGGCCGCTCCTGGCCAACAGACACTGCGGCGAGGCCGAGCAAATAAATAAATAAATAAATAAATAAATAAATAAATAAATAAATAAATAAATAAATAAATAAATAAATAAATAAATAAATAAATAGATAAATAGATAAATAGATAAATAAATAAATAAATAAATATCAAACAGTTCCCATTTTGACCCTAGTTTATGAACTAAATTTATTTATTTTTGCTTTTCAAATATAATTGTGCAAATAAAAACATTAAAACCCGCATTTGCATCTATATGAGGGTTGGGTCCCAGAAGCAGCAGCAGAGGAATATTTGCTGCTGCTGCTGCTGCTGCTGCTGCTGCTGCTGCTGCTGCTGCTTTTCTTGTGGCTCCTGCTGTTACTTCTGCTGCTGCTGCTGCTGTTTCTGCTGCTGCTGCTGCTGTTATGTCTGCTGCTGCTGCTGCTGCTGTTTCTGCTGCTGCTGCTGCTGCTGCTGCTGCTGCTGCTGCTGCTGCTGCTTGTGCTGCTGCAGCTCGCCAGCTCACCGCAAGTTCTCATCTCTGTGGCTAATCATAATGCTGCCGAAGCAGCAAATGAGATTTGCTGCTTCCATTTGGCTGCGAGCAGCAGCACGCTGGCTCAGCAGAATGTAGAGCCGCAGCACAGCAGCTTCGATTTCTCTCGTGAGCTCCGCGGGATCTGCTGCTGCTGCTGCTGCTGCTGCTGCTGCTGCTGCGATTGCACGACCTGCTCCCGTGCCTGGCGCTGCTGCTGCGAATTTCGGTGGTGATGCTGCTGCTGCTGCTGCTTGTGCTGCTGCTGCCGCTTCTGCTTCTGCTGCTGCCCCTGCTGGCTCTCTAGCAGCTGCTGTAGCAGCTGCTGGTATTTCCGCTGCTGCTGCTGCTGCTGCTGCTGCACCTGCGGCTTCACCGTTTGCTGCTGCAGCTGCTGCTGCTGCAACGGCTGTTACTTCTTCCTCAGTTGCTGCAGCAGCCGCAGCAGCGGCGGCTGCTGCTGCGGCTGTCGCCTCCTCCTTTGCTGCTGCAGCAGCAGCAGCAGCTGCTGCTGCAGCAGGAGAACGGGCGTTGCTGCCCCCCAGGTAAAGCCACCTGGCTTGCTGCAGCGGCGTTTGTCTCAGAATTGGAAAGTTTGAATTTATATTTTTAATTTCTTTTTCTTCTTTTTTGTTTTTATTTTTATTTTCTTTTTCTTCATTTTTCTCAAAAGTCCATTTGCCCGCGCAGCGCAGCAGCAGCGGCTCCAACACAGACACCGCAGCCAAATCCACAGCAGCCAGCAGCTGCTCCTGCAGCAGCAGCAGCAGCAGCAGCAGCAGCAGCAGCAGCAGCAGCAGCAGCAGCAGCAGCAGCAGCAGAGCAGCAGCAGCAGCAGCAGCAGCAGCAGCAGCAGCAGCAGCAGCAGCAGCAGCAGCAGCAGCAGCAGCAGCAGCAGGAAGAGGAGCGGAAAAATGAATTAAAATGAATTAAATTGGTTTAAATTAATTCAATTTCATCAAATAAAAAAGAAATAAAATAAAGCAGAGGAAGGGAGAAAGAAATAAACAAATGTGCTGCAGCTTTTTGTTTTGCTGCTGCTTTGCCAGCAAATAAAATAAATAATTTAATTTAATTTAATTTAATTTAATTTAATTTAATTTAATTTAATTTAATTTAATTTAATTTAATTAATTAAATTAATTAAATTAATTTAATTTTTATTTGTTTTTAAATTAATTCTTTTTAGAAGCTGCTGCAGCTTACAGGGTTGGAGAGCCGCTCTTCAAGACACAGCAGCGCCTCCAGCAACTCAAGACTGCTGCTGCTGCTGCTGCTGCTGCAGTTGCTGCTGCTGCTGCTGCAGTTGCTGCTGCTGCTGCTGCTGCTGCTGCTAGTTGCTGTTTTAATTTGGTGCAGCAGCCGCGGTAGACAACGGTCGCCGTACCTGCGGGTCGGGTGTTATTCAGATACAGAAAAATAAATAAATAAATAAATAAATAAATAAATAAATAAATAAATAAATAAATAAATAAATAAATAAATAACAAAACAAGTTTATAAATATAAATTCAATAATAAAGAAACAGAGAGCGGCGCTACACTTTGCTGATGTTCTATGGCACAGCGGCTGCTGCAGCTGCCTCCACAAAGGGAAGCAGCAACAGCAGCAGCAGCAGCAGCAGCAGAAGCAGCAGCAGCAGCAGCAGCAGACTAAATTTTGCATATGCATGATTAGGCCTTCACTGCAGCATCAGCTTGAGAAGACACATTTGTTTCTATCCTTTCTCTGCAGCTGCTGCTGCTGCTGACGCTGCTGCAGCTGCTGCTGCTGCTGCCGCTGCTGCTGCTGCTGCTGCTGTTGCTGCTGCTGCTGCTGCTGCTGCTGCTGCTGCTGCTGCTGCTGCTTACGCAATTGTAACATATGAGTCTGGGCACCCGCTGCGCGTCTCAGGATAATGAGGATGGTTAGCAGCAAGTGTATAAGACACAACATGGCGGTGATAGCCCAAAAGCCTCAGGGGGCCCCCCGGGGGCCCCTGGGGGCCCCCCCAAAGCCCTGGGGGCCCCTGGGGGGCCCCCGCAGGCCCCGGGGGCCCCGGGGGGCCCCCCGGGGGCCCCTGGGGGCCCTCCAAAGCCCCCAAGGACCTCTGGACCCCCGGGGCCCCCGGGGGCCCCTCTGTTTTCATTCTGTGGGCTTAGTTGTTTTGCAGCAGCAGCAGCAAGTTGCTGCAGCCCTAAGTAGCTGCAGATATGTAAATGCTGCTAATTAGAATGCGCTGCTGCGGCTATTCTGTGGAGTAAAGTGGAACTTTGTGGATCTATATTTGTTGTAAATGGAATATTTAAAAGAAATGTATCTTTTGCTAAAAGAAATGTATCTTTTGTGCATTTTAAAGATGCATTTAATGTGCAGATCGCCCGAAGATTCGCCTTTGTGTGAATCGGGGGTCTGCGGCTGCGGGGGAAACAGCCGGAATTTGAAATAAAGAAGAAAATAAAAAAGTAAAAATAAAAACAAATAATTTAAATGCGAAGGCGGGGGAATTGAAACGGCTGGAATACAAGACACAAAGCAGCAGCAGCAGCAGCAAAAAGCCCTTTTTTAGTTTATAATAAGTAATTTCTTTTAATTAATTGTTTATTTAAATTAAATTTCACATTTGTTCTCCCGCTGCGGGGCCCCGAGGCGCAGCCGCCTCGGGGCTGCAGCCACCGAGTGACCCTGGGGGCCCCACGACCTGCTGCTGAAATGAAGGCTACGAAGGCGGAAAGGGGAAAAACTGGAAAAATAAATGCAAAAGAATTAAATTAAATTAAAAATAAAAAACTAAAAATGAATTAAAACGCAAAACGCCAGCAGAAGGACTAAAAACGGCGCTTCCCAACCAGAGCAGCTAGAGCGCCGCTGCTGCTGCCGACCCACAGCTGGTGAATAAGTAAACAACAATTTAATTAAAAATAAAGTTATTAAATTACAAATGATAAATAATTAATAAATTTGCATCTCAAAATAAAGATAAATACTTCCAACCTTCACAACTAGAGAAGAAGGCAACAGCAGCTGCTTCAAATGGTAAGACAATGCAGCCACAGCAGCAGCAGCCCGCTGCTGCAGCAGCAGGAGCAGCTGCAACTGCAGCAGCTGCTGCAGCAGCGGGAGCAGCTGCAACTGCGGCAGCTGCTGCACCAGCTGCTGACGCAGCAGCTGCTGATGCAACTTGGTAGCTTCTTTGCTCAGCTAAAGGAGCAGCAGCTATAATATTTCTGCTACCCCCTCTTCTAGGGTTTAGGGTTTAGCAGCAAGCAGCATCAGTGGCTAGACTAGCTGCTGCAGAGGCCAGGCAGCTGCAGCACCAGCAACAGCTGCTGCCCCACCAGCTGCAGCAGCAGCCGCAGCAGCAGCAGCAGCAGCAGCAGCAAAACCTGCTGCTGCAGCAGCAGATTACGCTACAGCATAAACCTGTCTTGCGGCCCCATTTCATCCAGAGCGCGGATTTTAACTTTCCAGTGGCCTGCTGCAGCTCCCTGCTCCTGCCACGGCAGCAGCAGCAGCAGCTGCTGCTGCTGCTGCTGCTGCTGGTTCCCTGCTGCTGCTGCTGCTGCTGCTGCTGCTGCCCGAGCTCGCTGCTGCGCCTGCAGAAGCAGCTGCAGGCAGCGCCCGCAGGGGTGGCAAGGCTGCTGCAGCAGCGAAGGTGACACAACAGCAACCATTGAAATTTGCTGCCAGCCAGCAGCAGCAGCAGCGCCAATCACGTGCTGCTCAGCGCAGCAACTGCAGCAGCAGCAACAGCAGCAACAGCAGCAGCAGCACCACCACCAACAGCAGCAAATGGCATCGATGAATTAAAGTAATAACAAGTGGCGACACCAATATATGCGACAGCAGCAGAAGCAGAAAAAAGAGCAGCAGCAGCAGCAGCAGCAGCAGCAGCAGCAGCAGCAGCAGCAGCAGCAATTAGAAAAGAACGAATAATAAAGAAATAAAATAGAATAATGCAAAATGGCATCAAATAAATACAAATAAAAATAAAAAACAAAATTAAAGAATTATTTAAATTCTGAATTAGAGCAGCAAATAAAAAGAAAACAAACTCATTGCAGCTGCAGCAAGCAGCAAATAAAGACACAAAAGCAGCAAATCAAAAAAAACATTTTTGACTTTAAACAACAAAGGATTAAAGGAACCAAAAATAAAAACAACTGAGACAAAGAGAGCAAAAATATCTGCAGCAAGCTGCAGCAGCAGCAGCAAGCTGCAGCAGCAAGCAGCAGCAGCAAGCTGCAGCAGCAAGCAGCAGCAGCAAGCTGCAGCAGCAAGCTGCAGCAGCAAGCTGCAGCAGCAAGCTGCAGCAGC